ATTCTATGTTTAACTTTTTGAGGAACCACCTGACTTTTCCACAGTGGGTGAACCATTTTACATGCCCACCAGCAGTATATGATGCTTTGACCGTCTCTACATATTTACCAACACTTCTGTTTTTGATTCCGTTATCACATCTTAGTGGATATAAAGTAGTACCTTATTATGGTTTGGATTTGCATTTTCCTAATAATGATGTTGAGTCCTGGTGTGGCTCTGAAGGATAAGCATTGGACTGTAAACTGCAGGGTCAGCTGTTCAAACCCACCAGGTTTTCCTTGGAAATCTTACATTGTTAAGTGCCATCAAATAGATTCCCACCCATAGTGACCCTGTATGGGATTTCTCAGGAGCAGCTTGTGAGCTTGAACCTCTCACCTTATGGTTCAGACTGACTTTGCAGTCCACTGCATTAACCTGCAGCACCACACCAGGACTATACAGAGTCGCTATGAGTCGAAACCGACTCGATGGCACTTAAGAACAGTTGAATATATTATGTGCTTTTAAAAAACCATTCTTGTATCCTTTTTGGAGAAATGCTTATTCAGATCCTTTGGTTATTTTAAAACTGGGCTGCTTGTCTTTTTGCTGTTGAGTTGTAAGAAGTTGCTGAGGACTTCACTTTACTTGGATCTACAATCAACACCCATGGAAGCAGCTGTCAAGAAATCAAATGATATATGGCATTGGGCAAATCTGCTGCAAATGACCTCTTTAAAGTGTTAAAGAGTGAAGATGTCACTTTGAGAACTTGACCCACGCCATGCCATGGTTATTTTCATTCACCTTTTATGCATTTGAAAGCTGGACAGTGAATAAGGAAGACTGAAAAAGTATTAATGAATTTATATTAAGATGTGGGTGTTGGCAAAGAATATTGAAAGTAGCACGGACTGCCAGAAGATCAAATGTGTTGGAAGCACAGGCAGAGTGTTCCTTGGAAGCGAACTGAGACATTGACTGATGTACTCTGGACATGTTGTCATGAAGGACAAAATCTTGGAAAAGGACATCGTGTTTGGTAGAGGGTCAGTGAAGATAGCAGGATCTCTAACAAGATGGGTTGGCACCACGGCTGCAACAGTGAGCTCAGGTACAGCAATGTTGTGAGGAGGGCACAGGGACGGGCAGTGTTTTGTTCTCTTGTGCATGGGGTTACTAAAAGTCAGCCTACGTGAAGGCACCTAACAACAAGAAGCCCTTATCAGATATAATTTGCAAACATTTTCTCCCGTTTTGTAGATTGTCTTACATATATGTATATATTTATAACACCTTTGACACACAAGTTCTTAATTTGATGAAATCCAATTTTCTTTTGCTTGTAATTTTGGTGTCATATGTAAGAATCAGTGTCCACAACCAAGTTCTTAAAGATTTTTCTCTATATTCTAATAAATTTTATGGTTTTAGCTTTTGCACTTATATGTTGTTATTATAGTTGTCGCCATCGAGTTGGTTCCAACTCAGCAACCTTGCATAAGGTTTCCGAGGAGGGGCTGGTGAGTTTGAACCACCGACTTGGCAGTTTAAACTGACCTTAAGGTTGAGTGTTTATCTTACAGTGCTACACCAGGTACCCTGCACTTATATAGTTGATACATTTTGAATTAATTTGAACAAATCCAGCTTCATTCTTTTGCATGTAGCTGACTACATGTAGCTGACTACATACATTTTCTAACAAATAGTGTTATTTGTTAGAAAACGTATGTTGTTAAGTGCCATTGAGTCGGTTCTGACCCATTTGTTGTTAAGTGCTGTTGAGTCAATTCCGAACCATAGCGACATAGGGTTTCCAGGGAGCAGCTGGTAAGCTTGAACCACCGACCGTTCTGTTCAAATGACTTTGCAGTCTGACGCATCAGCCCACAACGCCACACCAGCGCTCCCTTTGTAAGATTTTTGAGGAATGGCTGGTGAGCTTGAACCGCCAACCTTGTGGTTCAAACTGACTGCAGTCTAACACATTAACCCACACCAGGACTCCCAGAGATTGTTTGGAAGCTTTAAATGAGCAGCACTTATATTTAAATAGAGCAGTCTGAAAGCAGAGCCTTAACTCCATATTAAAGTCTTGACATGAGTTTTGAATCTATGTTGAATTTTGAAAGCCGCTTTTTCTAACAGAAGTTCCTCTAACTTTGATGTTGACTTAACCATATACCCTAAAGAAGATATTCCTTTTCTCTGATGTCTGGTAGGTGCAGAATATCAGTCTGTTTTCAGAGGGCCTCTCCACTATGGGCAAAGTGCATGAAGGTCTCGGTGTCCAGCATTATCAATAGCTCTTTATAATGGAGCCTAGAAACAGATTGATTGAGAAAGCAGTTTTACTGATAGGCTGCCTGAAAGACCTGTCCTGCCACCATCCAGTGACCAGCTTGAAGGGCACATACCTTTAATTTACATGTTACCCACCTGTCCCTGGCTAAAACCTCACTTTTAGATATCCTGCCGTTGGCTTCTCCGATTGTCTTTTAGCCAATTATAATTTTGTAACTTTTAGTTCCTGCTCTAACTGTTCAAAAATTTATTTTCATTTTCCAGCAGAGTGACCATTTTCACTCTTCAGTGTGGATGTCTTCGCTGTCCAGACCATCTGCTCTCACTTTAAGCAGACCCCGTGATGTTACTCTTATCACCAGAGACTGTTCTTTGCCCATTAAATGTTCTTGGCAACCTTGTGGAAAATCAACTGACCATAGATGTATAGGTTTTTTTCTGGACTCCAGTCTGTTCCATTGGTTTATACGTCTGTCCTTATTCCAGTACCACATTATTTTGAATGTTGCTACTTTGTTGTAAATTACTGTTTCTGTATACTAACATTGATAGTCATGTCTTCCAAATGAAATAAAACAAAACCCCATTGCTGTCAAGTCTGTTCTGACTCCTGGTGACCCTATAGGGCAAATAGAACTGCCCTGTAGGGTTCCCAAGACTGAAATCTGTATGGAAGCTGACTGCCACATTGTTCCTGTGCAGAGCGACTTGCAGGTTCACTACATCTACCTTTTAGCTAACAAACCATGCATTTAACTACCACACCACCAGGACTCCCCAAAATGAAATACTTAGTATAAACCTAACTAAACATGTACACACTTGTATATTGGAAATCACAAAATGTGGCGCTATGGATTAATGCGTTGGACTGCAAAATCAGTTTGAACCGCAAGGTCACTGGTTCAAGCTCACCAGCTGCTCCTCGGAAACCTTATGCAGGGTTGTTACGGGTCAGAACCAACTCAACAACAGCACTTAACAATGGAAGATATCACAGAAGTAAATGAAGGGAGAGATGGATCATAATGGAAGAGACAACACAGTAAAGATGTCAGTTTTCCCCCAAATTGATGTGTACAGGCTTAATACATTTCCTTTCAAAATTCAAGCCAGATATTTTTGTAGCTGTAGACAAAACTTAAGGCGCGCTGATGGTGCAATGGTCAGGTCGCGGCTGTTAATTCAAAGGTGGGTAGTTCGAACCTATCAGCAGCTTTGCTGGATGAAGACCTGGCAGTCTGCTCCTTTACAGATTGCAGCCTAGAAAGTCTGTGGGGCAATTCGACTCTGTCCACTAGGCCATGCAAACCTGTCTCAGTGTTCCACTATCTGTCTTGTTCTTCCACCTCCTCCCCTTTCTTGTATTGTCCTCTTCAACACCCGAACTAAACCCCCCACCCCAACCCCACTGTTGTGGTTACCTTATATTCTATTAATTCTTCCCTCCATTTAAAACAGTCTATTTCATCCTGTAATCTACCTGACCTTCTCACCACCTGGATCTCTGTTCCTCTGTGTTAACCTTCTTCCACATTGTAATTGTTTTGATCGTAGGCTGACCTCCCAGATCCTGTGTTCTTATAATTTTATTCTTTTCGTGACTCTTCCATTTGTCGATTGAATTCAGGGGGATGCTGCCACATACGTCATTCTCTGGGTGTTGTCTGCTCTTGTTGGTTCTCAGTCCACAGAACTACCTTTAGGATGTTTTTTATAGCAGGGTAGGCTTTGGCAAAATCCCTTATAGCTTCTGTTTATCCTGGAATGTTTTGATTACACCATCGTATTTGACTTGACAGCTTTGCTGGGTAGAGAAGTCTTGGTTGACAGTTTTTTACTCTTAGGGTTTTATATATGTCTCCCCATTGCCTTCTTGCCTGCATGGTTTCTGTTGAGAGATCGGAGCTTAATCCGATTTGCTTGCCTTTGTATGTTACACTTCTCTTTTCCCTAGCCACTTTCAGGAATCTGCCCTTACCTTTGATTTTGGAGAGCTTGATTATTATATGTCTTGGTGATTTTCTTTTAGGATCTTTCCTTCCTGGGATTTGTTGAGCTTCTTGAATGCTTATCTTTTTGCTTTTCAGGATGTTAGGGAAATTTTCTTGCAGAAGCTCTTCAACTATCTCCTCTGTGGACTTGTGTGATTTTTCCTGTTCTGGAATTCTGATAATTCTTAAGTTATTCCTCTTCATGTACTAGTTCTGGCTTCTATCTCTTCACTTCTACTCCTTTGCTCTTTCATTGTATTGTCCATTTCTGATATTCTATTAGTAATCGTTTGGACCTCTTTAGGTAGGTTTTGAATTGTTTCCAATGCTGTATCTATCTTATTTTGTTGTCCTTGTAGTGTTTTCCTGACTTCTTCCGGTGTGGCGTTGTGGGTTAATGCGTCAGATTGCAAAGCCATTTGAACAGCAAGGTTGGTGGTTCAAGCTTACCAACTGCTCCTTGGAACCCTATACAGGGTTGCTTTGGGTCGGAACTGACTCGACGGCACTTAACAACAACAATTTTATTGCAACTTCCTGTGAGTCTACAATTTCTTCCAAAGAAAAAGCTGTAATGTCATGTTTTGTTTCCTTCCATTCATATTTGCATATTGTTTCACCTGAGAACAACATGGACCTTTCCATTTTTCATGTATTCAGGTCTCAAGCATTCAACTTCCTTCATGTATCTGCAGGTTATAGCCAGTTTGCAAGATGAGTGATTCCGATGATGATATCCCCCAACTTTCGTCCCACACCTTAGCAGCTCTCCAGGAGTTTTATGCTGAGCAGAAGCAACAAACTGACCCAGGTGGGGATGATAAATATAACATTGGAATAATAGAAGAGGATTGGGTAAGTAAATACATCCAGAGCTCTCAGAAAGTATTGGCATAGGACTTAGTCTGGGTTCTCTAGAGAAGCAAAGTCCATGGAACTTATGTGTATATGTACAGAGAGATTGAGCTCAAGGAAATGGCTCACTTACACAGTTGTGGAGGCTGGCAGGTTCCAAGTCCTTGGGTGAAATGTCAGGCTGGAGGCTTCTCCTGATTCACAGAGCTGCAGGGACTAATGACCACAAGATCGGCAAGTCAGATGGCAGACTGCTGACAACTCCCAGACTTGGCAGGGATACAGCAGGCTACTGGCTCAAGTCTAAAGACCTGGAGGTCTGATGATGAGCCAGATGCAGGATCCACATCCAGCAAAAAGCAAGGGAGCTTTGCCAGAGCTTTCATGTATACTGGGAGCAGGCCAGCCCTGCATGGACACTCCCTTCCAGTTCCTGGCTGCTCATCGCAGAGCTCCTCATGAAGCTGATTGTATTATCTCACCCAGCAAACAGAGTCCTGGCTCAGCCAAGTTGACAAACTGCCATAACCGTCACAGCGCAGTCTTCAATCCATTGTTTTTATATGTCCCACTTTATACCAAAGCTGATAACACCCGTCATTCAGAGGGTAATAGGAGCTAAGACAGAAAGCAAATCATGAACATTTTAAGACAGAAAAATACAGAATTTCCTGGCTCTGGCTTCTAGGTGACCTTGAGATAAGAGAAGGCTTTCATTTAGGAGAACATCGTTGATCATTGTGCCCAGAACAATTGTGTGCTCTGTTCAGGCCCACAGGATGGCCCAGTGTGTGCCCAGCCTACTGTGTGGGAGAGAAGGATGCTATTGTAGTCAGTGAGGCCATGGAAATGACACATGCAGTGAACACTTGGTGGAAGGCAGGTTCTCAGGAGATACTAATAGTTTCTAGCATGTGCATAACATACTCTTTTATAGTCCAAATAAAAATAAGCATTGTTGTTGTTGTTGTTGTTGTTATATGCTGTGGAGTCAGTTCCGACTCATAGCAACCCTGTACAGGGTTTCCTAGGCTGTAAATCTTTACTGGAACAGAAAGCCTCATCTTTCTCCTGCGGAACAGCTGGTAGTTTTGAACTGCTGACAGTGAGATTAGCAGCCCGATTCGTAACCACCATGCTACGTAGAAGATAAGAATACAAGTTGAAGGTAACTCCAGGCAAAGGCTGTGTTAAATGACACCAACCATCCGTCCCACAACACTCTACTCAGCTGGGATCAGGTATTCACTGCAGTGGCCACAGAACTCGGGCAGGACTCAAGGTTATGGGGTTTATTAGAGAAGTGAACAGGCTACTATTCAGGGTCAGAAACGCACAGGGCACAGTTCTTCTGGTCAGGACAGCCTCTTCTAAGCTTAGGCAGCCCTCTCCATGGGCCTCGGCCCCTTGATTGGCCTCTGCTCTGCTCAGTGTTACAGAATTGTTTAGGGCTGCTGATAAATGCCCAAAGGACATCCCATTTTGCTGATAAATGCCCAAAGGACACCCCATTCTGCTATAAGCTTCACAGCCTAAAGACACTTGACTCTCATATCATGAGTCAGCAGACCTAGCTCCCCCAACTAAGTGCTTAGAGGCACCCCACTCTGTAAGCAAGCCACCTGCCCAAAGGCACTGAGCTGCACTTGCTGCGCGCTCTGGGAGGCCCACCGCTCTGTGTACGACTTCGGCATTTGCTTCTGCTGCTGCTCTTCTTTCTCTGCCACTCCTCCAGGGTCACAGCTTTTTGTCCCTGGGTCAAGGTGGCTCAGTGCACAGGGATCTTGGGGTCCAAACGATGGGCTCCCCTGATGGGTGAGATTACCCTGTTCTGCTTCTGAGATGGCTCATTTTAAACCCAGCAGAATGGTAACATTGACTAATCTCCTCGTTTGATTTCCAGGTTTTTGCCATCACAATCCTGTTAACAGCCACTAACAACTGAATCATATCATCCTGTCAGAATCTCCTCCCACCTTCTTTTACTCAGACCCATCAGGGAAAATAAAAGTCATTTGGTGGGAGTTACATTACATTACATTGGCTTGAAGAGCCACATTAAACAACTCACTGCACTGCAGGCTGGAACCGGTTTTTTTTTTTTTTTTGGCACAATGAATACATAGTGGGGTGAGTTCTTTGATCAGGAAAAACATATTTGCTTCCAGAGTTAGCTCATTTTGTGATGCTAGTAACTCATTGATAATGGGTGTCTAGATTCTATTCATTCATTATGAGCTTGTATTAATTTAGAAAAAGGACAGTTTTACTGTGAAAAGCATAAAGCGTGGATCTAGACACCCTGGTATGGTGGTTTTGAATTGATTCTGACTCAGTGAGCGGCGGGTGGGTTTGAAATGTGCATCTTGCAGTTAGCAGTCCAGTGCTTATCCTGCAGCAGCACATCCGGAACTCCCTGGTATGGTAGGTATAAATTAAAAGAGCAAAGTTTATGACAAGTCTAAAAGGATTTCTCAACCCACCCCTCTGCTCCAGCAACTGAGCCAGTTTTGGTACAGCCCAGAAACGGCTCTCCGGCTTGCGGAGGAAGCACTTGCAGTCGCTGGAGAAGGTGGCAGGTGAGATGCAAAGTTCTGTGCTTTCTTTTTGCAGTCCTACTCTAAAGTCATATTTTTAAATACCTTAAATTTCCCTTCCAAGATGAGAGATGCTGCGTACTCTACAAAGATAATAGTCCATGGTTTGCAGCATAAGAAAAACTAAGAACTATTTCAATACTGAGTTCAGGGATACACTGAGTGTATTCTCCCCTTTTGGTTTTGTAATTATAGGTCTTTGCACATTTCATTATAATATTTGACTTTGTTTTCTCGAGCTGACCTTTGAAATGTTCTATTCAGCTCTTTTACTTCTTCATTTCTTACTTTGTTTTAGCATCTCTATGCTGCAGATCAAGTTTCAGAGTCTCCTCTGACATCCATTTTGGTCTTTTCCTTCTTTCTTGTCTTTTTAGTGACCTTTGGCCATCTTTCTGTATAATGTTCTTGATGTCATCCCACAACTCTTCTGGTCTTCAATGTCTAATGCATCAAATCTGTTCTTCATATGATCTCTTAAATTCAGGTGGGATATGTTCATGGCCATATTTTGGTTCTTGAGGACTTGTTTAATTCTTTTCAGCTTCAGCCTGAATTAGATAGAGCAATTGATGGTCTGGCCCACAGTCTGCGCCTGGCCTTGTTTTGACTAATGATATGGAGCGTTTCCACCGTCTCTTTCCACAGATGTAGTCAGTTTGATTACTGTGTATCCTGCCTGCTGAGGTCCGTGTATGTAGTCATCTTTTATGTTGCTTAAAAAAAGTATTTGCTATGAAGAAGTATTTGCAAAATTCTATCATGCGATCTCCAGCATCGTGTCTGTCACCAAGGCCTTATTTTCCAACTACTGATCCTTCCTCTTTGTTTCCAATCATTGCATTCGAATCACTGGTAGTTATCAATATCTTGCTTGCAGGTTTGATCAATTTCAGACTGAACAAGTTGGTTTTGTTGTTGTTGTTATGTGCCGTGGAGTCGGTTCCGACTCAGCGACCCTGTACAGGGTTTCCAAGGCTGTAAATCTTTACGGGAGCAAAAAGTCTCATTTTTCTCCTGCGGAACAGCTGGTAGTTTCGAACTGCTGACCCTAAGGTTCGCAGCCCGATTCGTAACCACTATGCTACCAGAGTTGATAGAATTCTTCAATTTCATCATCACTGGCTTTAGTGGTTAGTAGCGTAGTGGTTACGAATCGGGCTGCGAACCTTAAGGTCAGCGGCTTGAAACTACCAGTTGCTTCGCGGGAGAAAGATGAGGCTTTCTACTCCCGTAAGGATTTACACCCTTGGGAACCCTGTACAGGGTCGCTATGGGTCAGAACCGACACAACGGCACTTAACAACTTAACAACAATGTAAATTTGAATCATACTAGTATTAACTGGTCTTCCTTGTAGGTGTGTGGATATTATCCTATTACAGACAGCGTTGTACTTCAGGACTGACCTTGGTATGTTCTTTTTGATGATGAATGTGACACCATTTCTCGTCAATTTGTCATTCCCAGCATAGTAAACCATGTGACTGCTAGGTTCAAAATGGCCAATACCAGGCCATTATAGGATATCTTTCTTTATGCATTCCATTTCATTTTTGACAATTTCCAATTTTCTGAGATTCATACTTTGTACATTCCATGTTCTGATTATTCATGGATGTTTACAGTTGTTTCTCATTTTGAGTTGTGCCCCATCAGCAAATGAAGGTCCCGAAGGCTTTATTCCCTTTGCATCATCATGGTCAGCTCCACTTTGAGGAGGCAGCTCTTCCCCAGCCCTATTTCGAGTGCTGTCCAACCTGAGGGGCTCATCTTCTGACACTGTAGCCGAGGCTCTTCACCATGCTTCAGGGTCTCAATAATCTGGTGCTGACAGTGTTCCACTGTGATTCAGAAGGTTTCAGGGACTCACAGTGACTTTACATAGGGTTTCCGGTTTCCGAAGTTTTAAATCTTTTACTGGAGCAGAAACTCTTACCTTTCTCCTGTGTGGTGATTGGTGGGCTCCAACTGTGACCTTGATGTTTGCACTCCAGTGTGTATCATGTGGTGGAACCCTATTATTCAACATATTCTGATAACAAGGAAATGTAGGCTTTGCAGTTTACAGCTAGCATTTGCCATACTGTCCCTGATACGTTATTGTATTAATTATATCAAAAAGAACATTTATACTCTCCTTAAGTTCCTTAAGAGAGAAGCAGAACAAAGCTGTTTTGTAATTTATTGCTCTTTGTTTCTACTGTTTTTTCATTCCAGAAAGTAAGATAATAAATCTGGACACAGAGACCCATTTTTTAAAAATAAAATAATTGTTACTTTACACCCTGCGCTGCTTCTTAAAAGCCCTGTCACGAGTCTTGATTTGTTTCAGGATAGCATGTGTGAGCGCCCCCAGTGTTTACCAGAAACTAAGGGAATTGCATAGAGAAGACTTGTCTGTGTACCTCTTCGAATATGACAAACGATTTGCCATCTACGGAGAGGAGTTTGTCTTCTACGATTATAATAACCCCTTGGATTTACCCCAGAAAATCATCGCGCACAGCTTTGACATTGTAGTAGCGGATCCTCCATATCTTTCTGAGGAATGTCTTCAAAAAATGGCGGAAACTGCCCAGTATCTGTCTCAGGGCAAGATTCTGCTGTGCACAGGTGGGTGCCTGGTTCCTCGCCTCAAGAAAGCAGGCAATGGAAGATAGTCAAGTCTTGAGTTTCAAGAGTTGGGAGAGATCATAGAACACCAGTCCTGAACCCACCACTTCCTGTGTGGCCTTTGACAAGTAATTTTTACCTCTGTGTGCTCCAGTTTCCTTCGTTATAAATGGGCATGAATACATAATAGGAGTAGGTCTCAAAAAATTGGAATTAAACAATAACAGAATTCTCCCATCAACTTTTTGAGGCACCCGCCATGCTCCCTGCCTAGCAGGTTGTTGGGAATGAACATAGGGCCTGGCAGAGACTGAGTGCTCAAGGTTTGTTAGCTGTGGTATTTATTATTTATTATTATTATTATTTGGTCCAATCTCTGAACTTGATTAAGGAGACATTTGGAACCAAGAGAATTGCCTATGACCATAGAGCTAGGAATTAGATGAAGCTTTTTAAATTAGACATTTTTTTAACTCATAAAATTAGGCCATTTTCCTAAGATGCACATACTAACCGGTTGTAGGCATCTAAGGTGTCTGTCAGAGCCCTGCTTCCTCCCCTAGGAAAGCCCACCGGAGGCTGTGACTGGGGCCTCTGCCCACTCTGGCATTATGGGAGTGCTCGTGCAGTCTGTCACACAGATAAGATGTATTTCACACTGACTAGTGCAACACCTTTTCACACACCCTTTATGCCAGCTGACCTTGACCTACAGTACTCTGGCCTCATGGAGTTTACTTTGGAGAGTAGGAGATCGGTTACAAATCCAAGGAGCAGACCACAGGAAGGAAGCGCTGCTCCAGTTAGTTGTGGGGCCTGCTAGGAGACTAGTTGGAAATGGACTGCAGCTGGGGTGTGTGTGTGTGGCAGGGGTGGTGTCTGAGGAGCTGACATTCAGCAGAGACCTCAGGATGAGGAGGGAAGGGTGGACACCACCCTCAGGTGGGTGTGTGTCAGTGGTGTCTGAGGAGCTGACATTCAGCAGAGACCTCAGGATTTGGAGAGAAGGATGGGCACTCCCCTCAGGTGGGAGAAGAGACAGGTGTGGCTAGGACCTGCTGGGCAGAGGTAGTGGAAGTCTGCAGGGGTGAGGTGGGGGTGTTTGTACCAGGTATATGTCTACAGAGTGAGTATGGAAAGCCCAGAGTGAGGCCCTCAAAGTCAGCTGAGGTGGTCGTGATCGCAGTGAGCCTGTGGCCGTAGAAAAGGAGGAGATAGAATGGTGTTGGGATGTATTTTGGACCCCAAACTGAAGAATTTGTTGTGGTTCAAGAGTGGAGTGGCAGGGAGAAAGGACCAACTCCAGGGGCCTGACTCTGCCATAGTGAGGCGGACAGGGACCCCAGGGGACAGCCAGCTAGGCTGATGATGGAGGAGTGGCCTTGGGGTGACATCAAGAGCTCTGCTTTGGACAAGTGAAGCGTTGGAATCTGGAAAGTTCTGGCTTGTCAGCAGGAATACCCCTCCGGCAGTCGGGGAGGGGAGTAGGCTAAAGAGAGAAATTTGGTATTAATGTCTTTATAGAGACTACAAGATTGTATATAAATTACTCAAAAAGGCTTTTTTGACTCATAATTGGAACCCACTAGTTGATAATAATTTTTTTTTTTTAGCTCTACTTTAGTTCCTTAGGTTTCTTTGTGGAATATAAAACTATGTTTTTAAATGTTTTGACTTTGCAGAAGTAGAAAAAATTGCTAAATTTCACACTGTGAAATGGAAGAAAGATATAACTAAGTAACTTGCAAAAATATTTGAGAACTTAAACAAGGGGCATAAAGAATGGGCCGGGCCTAACCTGTGTTGGCTGGCCGGTGCCTACGACCGCGGGTTGTCGTGCCGAGAGCCCTCTGGGTGGCGTCTCACATCTTCCGCTTCTCTGGCTTCTCCTCAGGCGCCATCATGGAGGAAGCAGCAGCAGGCCTTCTTGGAGTGAAAATGTGCAAGTTCATTCCCAAACACACCCGGAACCTGGCAAACGAGTTTCGCTGTTATGTGAATTATGATTCTGGACTTGACAGTGAGAGCTAGTCCCTGACATACACTCGGATACAGCTTCGTTTCCCTCAGGAGATTGAAGAGCCACAATGCAGCCCCCAAAGTGGGACAACACCTGGCCTACTTGTCAAAATAAAGGCCACAACATCTCAGTTTTTTGTTTCTTTATTGAGTGAGGTCCGCTAGAACTTGGGACGGAACCCTCTTGGCTTTTGTTGTCATGTAGTGATGTCCAGGCTGTATAGGGTCTCCAGGGAGTGGCTGGTGGGTTTTAATTGCCAACCTTGAGGTTAGCAGTCTAGTGCTTATCCTACAGCATCACACCAGAACTGTCTAGTTCCAGTTCCTTACTTCATGTAAGCCAAAAATGGAACACAAACAGTAACTTGCAAAGACCCTGTGGACAAGACAGTCACTGAAACGTATTGTTCTGACTGCCTGGAAGCGGCCACATTCCCCAAAGAGCTGTGATACCACTACCACCGCAATATAACCCTGGGCACCAGAGTCAGGAAGTGGTGACAGGGACAAAGCCCCACTGTACTTGGCTCCGGCCGCACCACAGGTTGTGAGTTACCAAGGAAATGACAGTACCCTCTGTCACTAACACTGTGACACAAGGGGACCAGGGCACATGATTAAAAAAAACAAAGCCCACTGCCCTGGGTCCTATTCTGACTCATAACCACCCTGCCCCAGCTTTCTCTTATGGAACAACTGACACACCAGGTTTGAACCACTGACCTCAGCAGCACAACATCTAACTCACGGTGTCGCCAGGGCTCCTTGGGGACTGTGACAGTCAACATAATCCACACCACAGCGGCTGCTTAACAACCAACAAAAGCTGGCCAGAGCTACATGTGACAACCTGGGTGGGCCTCAGGATGTCATGTGGAATGGGAAAAGCCAAGCTCAAAAGGTCACCTGATGCCATTTATGTAGCGTTCTCAGAAATTACCAAATTACAGAAATGGAGAGCGGAAGACAGGGATGGGAAGGGGGGAGGTAGGTGTAACCGTAGAAGGGGATTCTTTATGGTGATAGAACAGTTGTGTTAACTTAGACGTACACGCAGATAAGTAAAACTGGTGAGATCTGAGTTTAGCCTGAGCTGTTCAATGCCACGTTCCTGGATGTGGGGCTACCTGCTGGGGGAGGGGGAGGGAGCTGCATGAAGGGCAGATTCACATTTCCTGTGAATCTATAACCGCTTCAAAATTGTACGTTCAAACTTCATTCAGTCCTTCTCTCTGGGAAAGGAACATACTCCCACACCCCTGTGACTTGCTTTGACCAACAGAATGTGAAGGCACAGTATGTATCGTTTCAACCTGAGCCAGATTTTTTATTTTTATGGTACATTGAGGAGGAAGCTCCCAGACAGGCTGCCCAGAGCCATCTCTGCAGTGGAGTCAGAGGAACAAAACCCTCAGGGCTGGAAGCCAGAGGCTGGGAATGGATACTGAGAGATACAGGGAGATGGAGCTCTGTTACCCAAAATCACTCAGGGTACAACGGTTAAAGTTGCCCACCTTGATCCTCTGGTTTCTTCCTGCTACTCCTCAGGACTCCGTCTATCACTTTGGGGTACTTTTTAGGCAATTTACTCTCAAAAGCACCTCTTATTGTTGTGAGGCATTGATATTTTTATCACCTAACACAAATGGCACCTTCCCAGCCCTGGCATGTTACATACTTCTTTTTTTTTTTTTAAAGACCCCACTTTATTGTTTCTTTATGCTAAAAATTACCTTGTTGTTGTTGTCAGGTGCCATTGAGTCAGAAGCGACTCATAGCGACCCCATGCACAGCAGAGCGAAACAATGTCCGATCCTGGGCCAACCTCACTACTGCTGCCACACTTGAGTCCATCAATGATGCCACCTGGCTGATCCATTTCGTTGGGGGTCTTCCTCTTTCTCTCTGACCCTTTATCTTACCCAGCATGACATCCTTCTCCAGCGACTGTTCTGATAATATGTCCAAAGTATGAGATACAAAGCTTAGCCATCCTGGCCTCCAAGGAGCACTCTGGCTGCCCTTCTTCCAAAATAGATCTATTGGTTCTTTTGGCAGTCCATGGCACTTTCAGTATTCTCCTCCAACACCACAACTCAAAGGCATCAATTCTTCTACGGTCAAAAAAAATTACCTTAGGGAGTATCAAATTTTAGTGACACATTACGTATTGAAATGTAATGTTTAACTTAGGAGTTCTGGGAGCAGAACAGACTAGAAGTAACAGAATTTTACTTGTCCTATAAATCTAACATTTACATGAAGAAAAGAAACTTTATTTTTCCGTGGGTGGGGTGGGTGGCTGAGGGAATGAAGGGGTTGAGTTTGACTTGTATTAAAAAATTTACGCAAGTCTTAGGTTATGAGCCTTAGAAAATGAGGTAATTACAGATTTGTTTAAAGAGCAGCCAACACATTTTATGGCCTTGAACCCCTAATGTGACTTCAATGTTAGCGAAGCTGTGTTCATGTATGATCCATCTGGGCTTTAAAAAGAGATGTGGCTCTACCCCTGGGACCTTTAAGAAGACTACTGTGTCTGCTGTGCCCCTTGGTGCCTTCATTTAGCTGAGTCCCATGATGCCGAACACAAAGCTAGCACCCGGCAGCCATGAAAATGGATGGAGGAGGATGGATGCAATGCCGTCTGGGAAGTGCTGTCTACAAGGTGACCGTGTGTGGACTTTTAGGAGGTATCCTATCTCTTACACCTCGCCAACTCACTCACACTGCCAGCTCTGACTCATAACGACCTAAGAGGACAGAGCTGAACAGCCCTGGAAGGGTCCCACCCACCCACTGCCATAGAGTCATTCTGACTCAAGGCGACCCTCTATATAGGGTTTCTGCGACCACAAATCTTTACAGGAGCAGAAAGCCTTATCTTTCTTCCACATAGCGGCTGGTGGGTTTAAACTTCTGACCTTGTGGTTAGCAGTTATGAACGTATTCTATAACACCACCAGAACTTCCTTCATAGGGTTTCTTCCCAGGAGCAGCTGGAAGGTTTGAACCTCCAACTTTTCAGGTAGCAGCCTAACACTTAACCCACTGCCTCACCTCAAAAATGAAAACGAATATTTCATGGACATATTTAGAAGCCGTTCCTGTCTCAAGGATTTGCATTGAATGCCAAAACAGCCATCCACAAGTGGGAAGGACAAGAGTACGGAGTTGTTAACAAATCTCAAGTTTCCGTGTAACTGCTTTGTAGTAGAGTCCTGGTGTGGCACTGTGGGAAAATGTGCTGGACTGTAAGGTCGTTTGAACCTGAAAGTCGGTGGGTCAAACTCATAGAAACCCTATACAGGGTCACTATGGATCAGAACCGACTCTAAGGCACTTAACAACAACAACTTTTCTGTGTATTTGAGGGTTAATGAGGCTTTCAGGCAGCAAGAACAAATGAACTGCAAGGCTAGCTTACAGACCAAGTTTTAACTAGGACTTTTCGAACCCTTCTTCCATTCCTTCAAATAAAGCTGGAGTTAATGACTATAAATGATCATTGTGTTTCCCCTGCCCTGCAAAAGAGAGTCAATGAAACGAAGGGTTTGAGTAAGTGGCTGACAAATATGAAGCTATTCACATTTGCAGAATGCTTCTTGAATGATATTCCCAGAGGATTCTGTTTCAATAAACCAGCAAGATAGCTTTTCTAAGGCTTGCCACAAGATCCTCAACATAGACTTTATTTGAAGTCTATTGAAGGAAACATACTGGTTGTGGCACTTTACTGGGAGGAGGAGAAGCAGCTGAGTAATTTACAGTAATAAAGTGCTGCGATTCCCCAAAGCCTAAGGAGCTCTGATAGCGTAATGGTTACGAATCGGGCTGTGAACCGCAGGGTCAGCAGTTCGAAACTACCAGCTGTTCTGCGGGAGAAAGATGAGGCTTTCTGTAAAACTGAGCTCAAGGAAACACGAGTTCAGATTCATGCTCTGGCACATGAAACCTAATTCTGTTTTCGTCTGAATGCAGTTGAGGACAGTTGTCTTCCAAGAGCTCAATGACTGGATCAAAGCAGGGGTGCAATGAACATGAAATGGATGAATACTTCATTCCTTCCTTCAAGTTGGTTTAGCTCATTCACAGCAAACACAATGAAGAAAGTAATGCAATTTCCCATCCTCTCCTTGGTCTACCCTACGTTGATGCTTGCACTATTGTGAGTGGGTGGGACATGAGACACAGTGATGGCACAGTGGACACCACAGCCCAGATCTCGGGCCTGAAAGACACTTTCATTTTCATCTGTGGATTTTTGTCTTTACTGTTATGAACTGGCAACAAAAGGTGACTTCAAACTGTTTTCTGGACAATAATTTATTCTAGATTTACCACCTCAAGAGATCTGGTTGTCTTGCCTCCCTACCTCCCCCAAATTCCCAGGGAAGTAAACTGTCCCAAACGGCTTTCCATTTGGGCTTCTTTTTATTTGGAGAATCTGGATTTTGCCTGGTAAAGTGTTTTTCATGCATACCTTCTGCCAGTATCAAGTATAAGTTGGAAAGGTTCTCAGTCCAGATTGAATTTAGGCTGAAGGTTGATGACACTAAAGATGTTTCCTCCCAGTGACTCTTAAGACAGCTGAGGCTGGGGGTGAATACAGGAAAGGAAGGACACTTCTTGTTCTCGGTCAGGGCTGCCACAAGCCATGGGTGCCGGGCAGACTTTACAAGACTAGTTCATTTCAACATCAACCATAAAATGAAGAGAAAGTGAAGACCTTCGTGAACAGTTTCTCGAGAGCTCAGCTGAGCCTGTTAGCCCATAGCAGATGCAGAGGGAAATGCACACAGCCAGTATGTTCACTGTCTGAATGGTTTTAATGCTTTAGAAAGAAGTTCTAATTTTTAAAAATAATTGTGTTCACAGACTTTCAACCTAAAGAGAAAGGAAACAGCTCATATCGCATTACATAGAAAAAGCAGCCTCTAATATTGATCTCAAAGGTATCAATGGGCTCAAGCGTGGCAATGATTGTGAGGTTGGTCCAGGACCGGGCAGTGCTTCATTCTGTTGTGCAGAGGGTCGCTACGAGTCAGTATCGACTCGATGGCACCTAACAACAACAACATCGATCTCTGGAAATTTTCATTTGGCCCAGTTCCTCCTCAGATGTGGCTAGTCCTAACATTAAACTGATAGTCGATTCTTCCTGAAACTAGTAGTCTATAGCCTATTTTTTTAAATTCAGGTGCTAGACTCCTGAGACATTTAAAATCTAAACCCAGTATCCACAAGTTGGCATCACCAACCTTCGAAAGTTGAAAAAAAATTATATATTTTTAAATTAAGTCCATTTATAGACTTATGAGAAAGGCGAATTCAGGATTTCTGGAATTCTTAGTTTATTTGCTGGTCCCACAATGGGAGATTCAAAAGGTTTGTGGGGAAATTCCATTATCTTTGAATTTCATTTTTCCACAAACTTTCTGAAGCCCCTCAATGGAAGTCTTTTGTTCATTTCACAGTGGGGTGTCTTCACTGGCACGCAGATGAGGTAAAATTGAATGTACCCATTTTGTTTTTGCCAGTAACCTGCTACAGTATAGTTGGAGGCCTCCATTCCAGCTAAAAGTTTATGAGAAAATTCAAATTACACTTTCCAAACAGACTGAAGAGAAAACTGGATGCTTATAAAATGTTCAGATGTCAAGTAAAACAATTTAGGTAGTTTTCTCAATTGCTAATAGAAAAATAGCTTTTGCCCATATTGAAAACAGCTAAATTGAAAAAGTAGGTATCTGTTCTTTCTACTCTTTTGTTTAAAAATTGTTTTTAAAGAATAAACATCTCTCTCATCATTCTGCTTTACCAAGATTTCACTTCTCTAAGAATACAGAACCTTGGGGGCGGGGAGCCGTGCGAACCCCAGCAATGGGCTCCCCCTACAGCTGGGCCTGGAGGTGACCTCCAGCCTTGAAGAGTGTTCATTAAGCGTTTGCAAAGAATCCAGATGCTGGTCAGTGCGGAGCTGGCCCTGGCTCTCAGGAGCACCAGGTAAGTTCAAATCTCTTTTCAACAATTCTGCGCTAACTTTTGCCTAAAACAAAACAAAACCACCCAAGGACTACCAGTGTCCAAGTAGCCCATGGTTTGTTCCAGCCGGCAAGGCCTCTGTGGTTGGGTGGTCTCTGTGCTGTCTTGGGTCCCTGTGTCGCCCCCTGCAAGCACTCGGCTGAGGGAGGAGTCCGCAGGGACCCAGAACCATAGGCCTCAGGGGGTGGTGGGCTGGTCATTGGCCTCCAGCAGCAGTTTGGCCCCCTGCTTGTCCAGGCTGGAGTTGAGGCTCTCGGCATCCTTGGCCTGCTCTGGGACGCAGGTGCAGCCCACCGCCACGGCCACGTAGTCCTCGGCGTAGAGATAGCGGCCCCCAGCGCAGGCGGCTGTACGGCGCAGGACCACGGTGGGCATGAGCACTGGGGTGCTGCGGAACCGCAGGTCCTCCTCGCCGAAGGGCCCTGTCAGGCAGCCCCGGCACAGACAGTAGGCCTCCGGTAGGTACTTGGGGTACCTGGTGGGATCGTAGGAGATTCTGCACCGGGAGAGAAGAGAGTTTAGTGCGGGCCAGATAGGGACATCACACGGTGAGCACAGATGGTGTTGGGGACCGGGGACCCAGTGGGTGCTGAGACCACCAGTGAAGGACACCAGGCCAGGCTGCTCTGACCCTTCACCAGAGTCTAAGCAGAGGGACCAGCAATGTCACTGTGTTTTACCTGATGGGTGCAGAAGCCACAGTGGTCTCTTCTTGAGGCATTTTCCCATAAAGCTACTTTCCAGAGTCTTCCTTCCACAGCTATCAAACAAACTTTCACCTAGTCCACATGGGCACCAGCATGTGGTCCCTGCATAACAGCATAGGACAAGACACCCTGCATATGCCAGGGGCCCAAAGCGTCCTCCCCTGGATCAGCAGACACAGGAAGCAATGACCAGACCCCCCAACAGGGACTCCACTTGGGTTCTTCTAACAGTGCTGCCCTGGGCTGTGCCCGTGGGTGGGCACAGGGGGCAGGCAGTGCAGACTCCAACCACCTGGCTGGCAGCCACGTCACACCACGAGAACTCACGTCACACTCAGCACCTGTCCAGATGCAAATCTGTGTCCATCTGTCTGTCAGGGTCTGCAGCTGCAGACGTGTAAGGCATTGCAGGGCTGGCCAGCCTAGAATGTCCCCGAAGGAAGCGATGGCTTAACCGTGGTGCATTTTTACCCTCCTCCAAGTCTCCCTCTTCCTGTCAGAGGTCAAGAACCAATGTCAGCATCTAGAAATCAGCTGGCAGTCGGGGTCCAGGAGTGTCGAGTTGGGCTGGGACCCATGACTCCACAGGAACCTCAGCCATCTCTGTCAGGACTCTGCCCTCTGACACCTCCTGCCCCCCACCTCAGGGTGGGGGGTGAAAGACTTCCCTGAGAGCCCCGTGCAATTCCCCTGGGACTTCCAGTCACCCAAGTGCCCATTTCCCTTGGCTGTGGAGCTGAGTTGTAGGGTTCCAAGTTTGTTAAGTCCAGGGCCTGTCTCTTCCCCTCCAGCCTCCCAAGCAACAGACAACATCTGAGGATCCACAGCAAGACGGGGAAGGACCCGGAAAAGCGTCCCCTCACTGAGGGCCCACAGCTCTGAGTGGAAACAAAATGAGCTGTGTTCAGGACTGCTCTACACCCCACAACTGGAGGGGTGTACACTCTATCACCAGGGTCCACACTGCCGGGCGCCAGGCTGTGCAGAGGGCTGCAGACAGGGAGGCCAACACCAAGAAGATTTATATCCCCCTGAAAGGAAACCCCTACGGATTCGTTCTCTCAGAGGTCCTCATTACCAATGACTCATAAAGTGGAAAGGCGTTCCGTTAAGAGATGGGCTGAGGAGCAGGTGGAAGCATCTGAGGGGTATGGGGCAGGCTTGACAGTGAGCTGGAAGGCATAAATGCTGCCTGGGAGCAGAAACCTGAAGGCGTTCCTAGCCTGGGAGTGCCATGATACACAACACTATGTTAGGAGATTATTTCAATGAGTCAAATGCTAACTATTACCAGCTTGATGAAGGTTCGTGGCTTTGGAAGTGTAAGGAACAGACAATGTTTTTCTTCAGTTTGGGTCCAGTTATCTTTAGACATCAGATTGGAGCATGATTATCTTCACTCCACAGCAAATTCACTCAGCCCCCACTGAACAGAGAAAACAGGTGAAGGCTTTGAACTGGGGAAGTGGCCCCAGCTAAAGGGTCCTGTTTTCCTCCCCACCACACCCCTGCCTGTACAAAGGGGCAGGGTCTCAAGTTTCCGCTCTCCCCCACCCAGACATTGTCCCCTGCAGGCCTCTGTGCATAGCTACAGCGGGAGCCTACAGCAGACTGCTTTCAGAGTCAACACCCCACAGCGTGGGCCTTTGAAGTCAGAGGGAGCAGACCTCCTGGGGATGCAGCCTTGAGGCAGCCTGCTCCCTCCTCTGGTCCGTTGGCTCTAAGGTCTTCTGACCCAGGCTGCTGTGGACGAGGGAGCAGGCATCTTGGGTACAGACTACAGCCAACACCGTGCGCCCATAGCTCAGGTCTTTGAAGGTAGCAAACGCACAGGACAGCCCTCCCGGGAAGTCAGCTCAGTTCTGTTAGTTCCTCCTTCCGGTCCGGGCTGAACACTGTCAACTGAGGCTGCTGTGTGCCAGGGAGCGGGCATCTTGAGTGGGGGCCACAGCACAGTCCGTGTATCACAGGGAAGGCTCTGACTGCAACAAGGGAAACTGAGAGAGAGAGACTGACTCCTGGGGCGTGACAGCCCCTCCCCGACCTGGGCACTGTCACCTGTAAGTTTGCTGTGACTTCACAGTCAGTACTCTACCTGCCTCCTTGCACATCCTGTATCTCTGGTCTCTGAAATCCAGGGACCAATCAGGGCTCGTCTGACCCCACTCCCAGCTGATGTTGACTACCTCAGATAGGCAGCTCTTTATTCAGATGCAGAGGTCTTGCAGGGGGGTGGGGGGTAGGGGGGTGGGGGTGGGGGGACTGCACTCACAGCCAACAATCTCCTGGGTGGACTCTGATAGCAATAAGGCAGACCTCCATTAGGATCTGGCCAGACCTGACCCTCTCCACTACCTGGTCTGTCAGGCTCTTGCAAACTGCTATGGGGACCCTCAAAGTGGAGTCTGTTTCTGTAGTCAGCACTCTATCTGCCTCATGTGCACCCCATAGTTCAGGGATCTAAAACCACAGGACAGTCCTCCTTGGGGACAGTTTGGGGTCTGTCTGCTTCCCTTTACAGCCAGCACTGGGGACTGCTGATTAAGGAAGCTGACATCTGGAGTGGAGGCTACACCCACACACAGTCCAGAAGGCAGGCCTTCCCCAACCAGTAAGTACTGTGCTGACCTGACAGGAACTCCTACAGAAAGCCCTTACCATGGTTTCAGGAGGTGGGTCAGCTAAGTGAAGACAACTCTCCCAAACGCCACAGGGCCACTGGGGATCTGAAACCAACTGGATATCTTCTGGCGTCCCTCCTGGGAGTGTGAGCCCCAGCTTCTCCAGAAACAGAGGAAAGTCTGCCTGTGCATCCCTGAATGCCCCAGTAGGGAAGGGCACAATGCTTGGTAAACTTGCTTATATGCAACTTCAGGCTGAAGCTGAAGAAAATGACAACTAGTTCATGAAAGGTAAAGTATGACCTTGAGTATGTTGTTGTTGTTAAGTACCGTCAAGTCAGTTCCAATTCATAGTGACCCTGTTTCCAAGGAGCAGCTGGTGGGTTTGAACTGCTGACCTTGTGGTTTGCAGCTCAGTGCTGATCCAATAGTGCCACACCAGGAGTCTGACCTTGAGTATATCCCATCTAAATTTAGAGATCATCTCAAGAACAGATTTGACTATCAGGACTGCCTGTGAGGGTTGGAAATGTAACGGTAAATGTTTTGTAGCAAAAGGAGGGGAGTGATTGACTTTGCAGTCAAGGAATGGAGGTCCCTGGGACCATCAAGGGAGAGGCAGAGACGATTATATGGAGAGATGGAGCAGCTGAGGACTCTAGACCCAGAGAGGGAGAGGGGCTGTGTGCTGACGACCAGGGCCTGGGCGGGAGCGGGGAGGGGAACAGGCTTACAGGGTCTATACCCTTTGGTTGGTTGATGATGCATAGAGGGGATTGTAACCATGGCAAGGAAACAATATACAATAGGAAGAATGTAAAGCTAACGTTCTCTAATGTAAACTATCACATAATTCACAATAAACATTAAAAAAAACAAAAAACAGATTTGATGTATTAGATGTGGTGCTGAGGGTTAATGTGCTGGACTGCAAAGTAGGTTTGAACCCTGAGGTTGGGGATTCAAGCTCACCAGCTGCTCCTCGGAAACCCTATACAGGGTCACTATGGGTCGGCACCGACTCGACAGCACTTCACAACAACAGCTGAAGACCAGAGGAGTTGTGGGATGATATCAAGAACATCATACATGATGAAAAGAAAAGGTCATTAAAAAGAGAGGAAAGAGAAAAAACTAGAGTGGATGGCAGAAGAGACTCTGAAACTTGTTCTTAGCAGAGAAACTAAAGCAACTGGAAGAAAGGCTGAAGTAAAAGAGCTGAAACAGAAAAATTTAAAGGAAAGCTTAAGGCAAAGTAAAGTATTATAATGCAATGTGCAAAGACCTGGAGTTAGAAAGCCAAACCGGAAGGAAGAGCAAGCTCAGCATTTCTCAAGTTGAAAGAACTAAAGAAAAAATTCAAGCCTAAGGTTGCATCATTGAAGGATTCTATGGGCAGGATACTGAATGATGCAAAGAGTATCAAAAGAAGATGGAATGTATACACAGAATATACAATTATTTATGTACCAAAAGAACTGATCGATGGTAAACCATTTCAGGAGGTACCATAGGATAAAGAACTGAT